ATTTTAGTACATTCATAGCGATATTCTTTTTTCGAACAGTAAATAAACTACAAACAAACCAAGTCGCCATGTTGAAATTACGTCACAAGGGCAACTCGGGCAACAAAATCTTATCCGACTTCAACGTCATAAAAGGGGCGTGTTTCCGACGGGAAGTGATGTTTTTCGTGACGTATCGTGACGTTTTCATCCGAGTTCCGACTTGGAGAGAAATAATCGAACGCACCATTAGTCCTGGTCCCAGAGGTGTGAGGCAACAGTGCTGACCACCTCACCACTGTGCTACCCCTTCAAGATAGTTCAGGAGTGATAATTATACCAAAAAACATGTAGTCAGATGTACTCAAGATACTTAGATTAATGGCAGTGGTGCACAGTCAACATGAAACAGAGCACCTGTAGAGCTTATCAAACCCATACACACGTACAGTACCTGCAGTGTCCAGTTGGCCAGGGCCTCCCTGGTGTGCGAATCTTCTTCAATGAGAGACACGTAAAGTGGCGAGGGCAGATGCTTGTTCTCTGACTTTAGCAGCCCTTCGATGACAGTGAGGTCCCATGAGCCTCTGCAGCGAGGCTCAGGGAGTCCCATACAGGCACCTTCTCCCCACCGTGACGCAGACATCGAGGAGCCAAGCAAAAAGAGGACAGAGCCCTTCAGCAGAGGTGGCAGTAGTAGGTTCTGATGTAGTGTGGCTGCCCTTCTGTCTGCCTCTGTGTGCCTGTCTGTATCTCCGTCTCCTACCTGTTTCCCTCTGTCTGTGTGTCACTGTGTGCCTCTCCTGAATTTAAGCCTCCATCTCTTGCCTCTTCAATATATACCCCCTATAAACTGTAAAGTGGGAGGGGCCTGTAGAGGTACTGTGTTTTGTGGACAAGAAAGAAGGAGGGAATTGTTATTAGGAATAAAAACAAAACAAAACTGTTCAACAAAAGCATCAGCAGGTGGACTGGAAGACAGCAAGGGGGAGGGAATGTTCAGGAGATGAGGCAGGGAAAACAGATTGTCACCCTAACCAAAAAAAAAAAGAAAGGGTAGGATGACAAAAAGGTCATCTCCAAACAGTGACAATGGGAATGAATAACAATGCAGCCAGGGTGCTTTATGGCAGCACGAGCTTTAGGAGAAGTGAGTGAGAATGTTCTTATCTATATAATCTATCATTCTATACTGTACCATTTTAACACCTTACTCTAATGTACAGTCTTACAGTTCAAAACCACTAGGAGTGCAGAATATACAGGCACCTGTGGCACAATTTGATCCTCAGACATATGTTACTGTACAAAAAGCTGCCCGTTCTATAGACACATTCTCTAGCTGAAAATGATGCATGTGCTCTGTGTCCCTCTGAGGAATCTCATTGTCAAAGCAATCTGTGGTGGGCTGCCTGTTCCCCCTCAGCTGCAATCTGTTTATCCGTTCAGGGTTGAGTGCTCACAATCAAGAGGGCAGGGCAGAGCATGTGAAAGCAACGGTGATGCCAGGCAGGTCAATGAGCCATGCTGTCTCCCCCCATACAGAGCCGTGAGACACCGGCTCCTGGCCTTATGCTCCATTGTATGCGCAGACACAGCGGCAGTCCTCTGGGGGTCCTTGTCGGTCACGGGAGGGTCAGGCTCATCAGGAACTCTCTCCTTTGGCAGCAGTAAAAGATTTCACATAGATGTTACTACAATGATCGTAATTTTTCTATGCATATAATAGCATATGTATGATTTATTAGATGCATTTTTATTAGGGCAATGAATTGGTTAAAATTTGAACTAATCGCATAGTTTTCTGTGATTAATTGCGATTAATCACACCTAACAAACTTTCAATCATAAATCTCTAAATTAATATACAACTAGCACAAAGGGGATTATTTGGGTCATTCACACAATCTCATTATTATAACATATCAATTTTCTGAATTTTAAAATGAGTTTGAAGACAGACTCAAATTATACCACTTCATTGTTTAAACTGTCACTGTTCCGTCTAGGGAAGTTAACCAGTTTTGTTATATTGCCATTTATTTCTGTAATAAACAAAAGTAATTCATCAAAACCCGGTGCAAGAATTATGGAGGACAGCAAAAACAAACAATACTGTATCAAAAATTGGCTAAACATTTTATCATACAACATACTAATCATTTATTCCATGCAACAAAGTTGAAAGATTTTAAAACATTTAATCTAGTTTTGTTTTCTTTTATGTTTGGCTACATATTTAGCAAAATGGTTTAAAATGATCAAATCAGAGAAATAAATAATATAATATTAATATACCCAAAAAGTTAAGGTAATGTCAATTGTTCTGCACACAAAAAACAAACTGTATTTCATTGTAACATGTTTTTCAAAAAATTCTCCAATTTATGACAATGACCCATATTTTTATAGATTTAATCATTTAATTTAAACTTGTGAAGTACAGATTATTAATTTCCAACAAAAATACCATTTGCAAGAAAGTACAAGCTGAATTTCAATGCTTTCAAAAGGCATTGAAAGGGCATATATACATATGATTGCAGGTACTCAACAGGCAGATCAACACATTATTTAATTCTGACTGCGTGATCAATCTAAAATCTAAAACCTATTTGACAAATGGCTCTAAAAACCCAAGCATGACAAACACTAAAAGAACCCTTAATAACATGAAAGATCTTCAGATTTTTGTCATGATCTGGTCCTGTTGTGTCCCATTTGCTGGTCATCTTGTTTGGTCCCTTATCACCTTCAACTGATTCTAGTTATTCATTATTCCTAGTGTTTGGCCTAATGACCCACACCTGTCCCTCATCTGCTCCTTTGAATTTGTATATATATATGAACCTGCTTGTGCCTTGTTCCCTAGTCTGGTCATTGTAGATATTAGTGTGCTTTAGTGGTTGTTGCAGTGTTGATCCCTACTGTGCTCCCCATATTTTGGTGTACCCTGGTCCCTCCTGGTTGTTCCTTTCTACCCCCTTGTGGTTATTTTGCTTCTGTTTTGGTTCTATAATAAGCCCATTTGCCCTACAAGGCTGTATGTAGATTGTTTCTCATTTTTGTCATGACGATTTTAAGTTTTCAATAAAATAAAACAAATCCTATGCAGTGTCATAACCTCTCATGATGTTTACAACCAAGAAGGAATATTATAGGCCTTTATTAACATTTTTTGCTCATACTATTCTCCCATTTGGGTATCAAAATGATGCAAGCATTAATTTGATCAAAGCTAAAAAATGAACGCTTTGTGTTGAAGCGATGAATTTCCTGTATCTACTGTATCTTCCAGGCATTTAGCCAGTACACAGCTGTTGGGATCCTGAACACCCTGGATGGGATGCCAGTTTGGTGAATTGGAGTCACTCAGTGGCTTATATTGTGCGTTAACCTTGCAATGGACCTAAATTTATGTTACACTTTTGTGTCATTTCATAAAATGTTTCCCATTTTCCGTTGGGTCCACCTCAGTTTCATTCATTTCGCTGTCACTCAGTTCACCAAACAATGTGACTCTACCGCAAAAAGAGGTTGAACAATTTCACAATTTCATTTGCTAGTGGGGGTTAACTACCCTTTAAAGAAACCTGAATTCTGTTTTGACATCTTGCTACTTTCAGATGCTGAATGAGACATTGGAATTGTCAATAAATTGCGAGGAGAGGTTGAATAAAAAATTTGGCACAAAAGGTAAACCTATGTGGATTTGGGCCGATATTTGAGCAAAAAGGAAGAATTACGAATGAAGAGCCCTCAATGGATCCACCACCAGGGCCTCCAAGTTCAAAAAGCCATGTACCTGTTGATAAATGCATATGAATGACGAAATCCTTTAACAGCTCCGTGAAACAGGACAGCTGAGATCAGACACAGAGAGAGCCAGAGATGGTATAAGATTCAGTGTGTCAGGGGTTTTGTCACTGTCTCCAGTCCCAGCCTGGTACTCTATTAAAAATGGGACTGCTTTTGTAAAATAAAAACTGATAACTAACACTTTATACCCATTACTATGTTCAGATAGGGAATGCCAAATATACTTCTTATGAAGAGCATTGCAGAGACAGATATATAACAGTAAATTATTAGCTTTATACAAGAAGATAAAGCAGAGTAACATATTGCAAGCTGTTTAAGTAGTGTGTTAAATTCATACCTCCCATCTGCACACAGACATGCACTAAAAGAGGAGAAGACAAGGAGGAGGACCCTGGACAGAATGAGAGGCAGGCCTGTCCCTCCGATTTCACGGGTCATTTGTCCGGATGGACGGGTTGCTGGTGTTCCTTTTGTCAAACAGAAATTTAAACATGAGACATTATTTGAACAGACACTTGAGGAGACAGAGAAGTGGGGCAAAGGGCAGGCTGCACTGTCAGGAGGCACGTGAAATACTGGCTGGCTATACAGAAGCACCCTGCATAATGTAAATCTGACAAGGTGTATTACAATAATCGACGCCCTATCTGGAGCTTACTTGCTTCCTATACATATTGTATTCGCCTTCAGTAGGAACAGTTGGCTGATAGAACTTATTACAAAGCCATTAAAATGTTACCTACTAAATATATACCCAGTCAAAACTGTAATATCCCTAATTGACTTTGGCAGAATTGCACTGTAACCTTATTGTGAGGAAGACTGGTGCTTAATGCACCATCATTTCACTGTGGTGTTTTAAACCAATTTTGATCTGATTTCTATAGGAAATAACAAATATAACAATGTTTTAAGAGATTTCCCACAGTATAGAAAGAACAGTATGATACGTGTACAGGGTATCTTGTACTTCAGTTTTCCTGTTGGGCAATAATTATGGCACATCAAAGATAGTGAACATGACAGAAATCTGATGATTGGACAATTTAAAGAGAATTTTTGTAACATGAGGTTGCTAGTTGCTGTCAAGCCACTGTCAAGACATGCCTGGTGATGAGAACATAGTGGATCATACACTTTAGTTGCATTTCAATATGATGTAGTGTTTCTTTTCTTGAGGAGGTGGATTCCAACTAAGGTTATGCTTTCACACCAGTCTTTCCAGTGACAGTCACAGTTAATACTTGTACTATGTCATTAACAGGATATATACAGTACATACAAGGGTCAAAAAATTTCTCTGTATGGGGCCGTAGCCAGGATTTTTAAAATACTGAGGTCAAAAGTGTTAGTCCATCCTAGGTGTGCACCGTAACGGATCGTGGTTACTGGAGTTGCAGAAAAAATACAGAGGACTTGACCTTGGTGTCCTCAATGATAGGTATGGGCATGCCTCTGCCTTAAAAAAAGGTTAATTAAAGGTCATGTGACAAACTGCATTCATAAAAAAATCTAAACTAATTTTTTTTAAGTTCCATCATTAGCAAGTAATATTAAGTCAAAGTATAATCAACTTAATATGGCAACTTGGCCATTGGAAAAATGTGAATAAAATTATGCTCTGACTACACTCAGTAGCAGCACAGTACCCTCACATGGTGCAGAGTAGGGGGACAGGTACAGCTCTCCTTCCTGTTTGTCATCATGAAAAATCTGCAGCAGTGGACAGATTTAACTCTTTAGTTTTAACTCTGCATTTTCATTAATCAATACTCATTGTCTGGTGGAGAAGTCATTGTCAGACTAGAAACCCCTGTATGCCAAAAGGTCAGTGACTGGCACATTATGTGTCGCCTTGATAGCACACTTGGCAAATCATATATGGTCTCATATTGTCACACCCACGGGGGCAGGGCAGCACAGCGGTGAACAATCGGCACCTAATCAGCGCACTACTTAGACGGACGCAACTTCCCAATAGTTGCGAAGTATTGTTGCCATTTTCGAATGTGCCTTACCGAGCGTTTTGCCTGTCTCCCGTCTCCCCCGCTTGTCCTGCCTGCCGT